CCCTTGCCTTTCTCTGTCAGTGCCACTACCTCTACCCATCCCCAGTACCTAGGACTATGAGGAGCAAATGCATCTCTCCTGACCTCCAACTTCCTCCGCTATCTCGCTCCTTTTTATATCATTGCTCCAGGGGGAAAAAAAACAAACAAAAACCTAGCCAATGCATACTGATGCCAGTTTCTTCTTAATAAAATCCTGTCAGACGAGGCTCTTAGCAAAGTCTTCTCTGTTACTACATGCAATGTCTTGTGCTTAACCACCTCTATACTGATCACTAGAACTTAACACTAGTACTACACACTACCCCTGGAAATTGTTTTGACATGGTCTCTAAGACTCTCCATTTCATGTCACTTGCAAGTACCTCATTGGAGAGGACAGCACTTATTTATAATGACTCTCTCACCATGAGCTTTTGTCCTGCTTTTGGTCTAACCTGGCATCTGTGCCTTCTACTCATTATCCCCATACAAATGCAGCATTTTCCAGTCAATTCCAAAACCATATAACCAACCATGCCAGGAAGTCAGAGACATCTAAGCCAGATGTGGTGATACATGCCTGTAATCCCAGCATTTGGGGAAACAGTGGCAGGATGCAGTTTGATGTCAACCTCGGCTACCTATTGAGACCCTATTTCCAAAGAGAGGCAAAGGAAAAAAATGAAAGTTTGGGCTATTAAACAGTGAGTTCCAGGTTAGCCTGAAATACAGAGACCCTGTGAAATGTACACATATGTACAGACACACACACACACAGAGAGAGAGAGAGAGAGAGAGAGAGAGAACTAAAGCAACCCCCACGATGACCTAGCTGTTAACCCAGTCTTTTATGGCTGGACTCTGGCAATGGCAATGTTCTCCTCACTGTTCTTGCTAGGTTTCTGTCTTTGCCTGCCTACAGATTGTGCATTCTCCATAGAAATTTCCACATGGCCCAGCCAAAAGAGTCTTCTCATATCACTCCTATTATCAAAACCCTCCAGAGCATTCTCATCTCACAAGTAAAAGTCAAAGGTGGACATGACCCAGTGTTATTAGTTGAGTGATCAAATCATTAATACACACAGTGGACCCTTGTGCTTGACCACACCAGGCATCCTCCTGTTCTTTCAACACACCTGGTACTTTCTCACTCTCAGCTCAGGACTAGCTGCTGGCTATGGTCTTCTTATCTGCATGATTCACCCCTCACATCCATCAAGTCTTTGCTCAAATATCATCTCAGTGAGACCCTCACATAGGACAATAATTTCAAGTTGCAATTCTGCATTTCCTATTCCCTTCCACCCTTTAGCTTTGTCCATAGTTGCAAGAAAACAGACTTTCCCCTTTTATTCACCACTGTTTTACTGGAGCTCATAACAGTGTCTCAACACACACATTAAAAAAAAAACATTGTCAGTAGTTGAATAAATGATAGATCTTACATGTGTCAAACTGAAAAGTTGCATTACATAGCTCTTCATTTTAGCAAGTTATGATTTAAACCTAAATTTCTTTTCTTGCGAAGTATAATGGCATATATGTATGAAAGTGCCATAATGCAACCCATTACTGTATATGCTAACTTAAAATTTAATTTAGAAAAGTAACAAAAATACATTGCTTTTCTTGGAATAACTTCTAAAGATCTTTAAAGTCTTGATAAGTTAGGGGTCATGACAACAACAAAAAAGGATTGTGCCACATTAGAGGGCAATCCAATGGGAGACACAGGCAGGTCAATAAGCAATTGCCAAAGATGAGTACAATGAAAAGCACACCTAATACACCATAAGAAGGCTGATAAGTGAAGTGATGCCTAGCCAGTTTAATAGGAGCCAAAGTATAACGATGATTTCAAGTGAAGAAACAAGTAACAAGTAGCAAAGTTTCCCTAAGTGAAGGCATGTGGCACACCACAGAGGCCATAGAAATCTTGGTACCACCAGACCAAAAGATGGGATCAGATGGGACATTCTCCACCCTGACAGTCTAACAGCTCAGTGAGACACATGGTTTTCACCATAAAGTCAGCAATTTTTATTATGGTTAACAAAGGGAACGATTGTAATTGTTTTTTGTTTATGTTTTTGTTTTTTATTTTTAAAGGCTGAAGGTAATTGAAACAGATGAGGGAAGAAATATTGATTAGAGATTCATCATCATTTCTGCAGGACAAACTATTCGAAAGTCTGAAAAAGGCTGTGGACTTAGGAGAATAGCTCTTATAAAGGCACTGAATAAAATGGATATGGTACAAAGGAAATCAATTATATAAGTATATTTAAAATAATGTGGTGTTATAGCAATACATTAAATCATATTAAAGTTACATTATTATATAATCATGTGTATTTTCAAAGCAGTGGTAAGCATAAACAGTATCTGAAGGCACAACCATTCAAGAAACATATGTCACATATGCTATGAAAGCAAACACCTGCACTGTCCATCAGCACCTGCTCATATCATCATTGTATGTTTTCCATATTCATAGTGAAAGTTAATGCTCACTTTTGGTTAAAGTGCAATGAATATAAAACAATATATTTTTGCCTTCTTCTGACCTCTGTGGGCACTGCATGACACGGGTACACTTATACACATGCAGGCAATACACTCATACACATAAAATAAAATAACATATTAAAAAATTGAATGTCTACACTAAGGTCCAGGCAACAAGATAGGAAATGAAAGAGATATTTAGAAAGAATATTCTTCAAATAAACAAACATCCTCTGGAAAGCTTAAAAAAATAGATAAAATAATCCTAACCTAAACTGGATTGGCTCCAAAAAGTTAAAAGGAAATATCCCTATATCAACTGTTATTTAACAGTTTCCTTTACTTTGCTAAAACTAGCACAGACAAACAACAGTAACACAGCCAAAACATGATTCATTTTCAAGATGAATCCCTTCCCACTCGAAGGTTTACATTGTTTTTAACCAGCTTCAGACTGTTTACCCACACAAACTGTAAATACATCATTTTTAGAACTAGCCAACAACAATGCCCATTTTGTTTTGACATGTAGAACACAGAAAGAAAATGGAGAGAAATGGCCATCGCTCTGCAGTCTGGGCCTCTAAAAGGAGAGCAAAGGTGGGCTGCTGAGACAATACCGACTTCATAGCAGAAGAAAAGGGCTGCATTTAGATGAATCAGGCAAATAGGCATCTCCGCCAGATACAGAGCAGAGCTGTAGAGGGTTAGCAGTGAAGAATAAATAGTAAGAAACTGTATCTGGAAGAAACATTTTGGAAGATAGAGGTAGTGGCTGACAATGTTGGGTATGTGTTAATGTTTAAATGGGTAATTTAATTTTACATGAATTTCAGACACAGTAGCCATAGTCTCTTGAAATCTTGAAGATATAAAATGGTCACTATCAAAGAAAATACACAACTCTCTAGACAGAGTCTAGAGTCCACATGTTCAGGCATTCCTTAGAGAATGAAACAGCACAACCACTATGGGCTCAACCACCAGGGGTTAAATAACGTGTTAGCCAGGTTTGGTAGAGCCCTCAGAGGCTGAGGCAGGAGGATTGTGAATTCCAGGTTAATGTAAACTATGAAGTAAGACCTTATCTCAAACAAGTATACAACAGAAAGAAAAAAAATGTAAAAGAAAAAAAGATTCACATATGGTATGACTCAGAATTTCCATTCAAAAATGAGTACACATTTAAACTAAGAAACATTAGACATTTTTTCATTGCATCATTAGAATTAATAACCCTGAAACCAGAAACCACACAAATGTACATTAGTAATATCAGACATGCTAAATAAACATCACGTTTGCACCATGAGTGGGTGTACACTTTGAAGCACAGCCTTTGAAAAGCAAGCAGGCCATAAATACGTCAAGACAGTTTCTACATAAACTAAATTAAGGTTCATCTACACAGAACAAGTCTCAAAACAATAAGGGAGGCATGCCTATAATCCTAGCTAAGGTAGGAAGGCCACTGCAATTTCACGGCCAGCCTGGGCTATAGTGGAATGTTGATTCTGTCAAAAATAAATAAATAAATAAAAACCCTGAAAAATAAAACCAACCAAACAAAAAGCAATAGAAATCATTCCCAAACACAAATGAATCATATCAATATGATGTTATAGAAACAAAACATATGAACTCTATGTAAACATATTTACATTAAATGGAAAAATAGTATTTAAGGACTTCTCAGGAGTAAAACCATTTTTAAAAATAAGGAAATACCATAAACGTTAGAACTGTGGTTCAATATTACAAAGAACTGTGCAAAAAGACGACTCTGGTGATGCACCGTTTACGGAGCAGGGTGATGGTACCTATTTGCTCTAAGGTAAATTATTGAGATATAATTTTTGTTTTGCTGTAACATACTGGTGTAAGTCCCAGACAGCTTTATTTTAAAATGAGGTGCAAATGCTGTTGGATCTAAAGTCCATGGCACATGACCAGTCCATTGTATCATTGGATATTTCTTAATGAACTATCGTACTAGCCCAACACAGAAAGAATGTTCTGGAAAACATATGTGGAAATGGGAATTCCATACTCTAATGTTACAAAAACAGACTTAAACTTCGTTGCATAAATGACACCAAATACCCGTAAATGCTTAAAAAAAAAAAAAAAAAAAAAAAAAAAAAAAAAAAAAAGAAAGAAAAAAAAAGAAAAAGGCAAGCAGTTAAGACTATCATGATAAAGACCACCATTATCATTTAGGCTCAGGTTTATTAAATGATTTAATAAGCCAGGCGTCGTGATACACACCTTTAATCCCAGCACTTGGGAGGCAGAGGTGGGGAAATACTGTGAGATTAAGGCCAGCTGGGGCTATAGGGAGACCTGGCCTCAGGGGAGAAAAAAATAAGAATCACTTAAACGTGCTTCAGATCTTGCCACGTTCTGAACAGATTATAGAAAATTTTGTTTTATCCCAAATCACTAAAATTCACATCACAGGGAAAGACAGTTGTGCAGAGCTGTAGAGAGAGAACAAAGTGAGTTTACCATGCAGGGGTGAGCCAGAAGGGCTGCTTGACAGGCCTGGCACCGGACTACAGCGGCCGCCTTGCTTAGACGTCAGTTCTTGTTCAATCTCTTCCAGCCCTGCACTTTTCTGGAAACGGCTCATGCGATTCACTACTCGTGGTGACATGTGTGTACGAACACAAGGCTGGCCACCATAAGGGTTGATGGGGAAGACATGAGATGTGCCCCGGAGGGTACTGACCACCACCCAGCGACAGTCATGGCTGAAACAGATGTCCTGAACCTAGAAAGGAGGAAAGACACAAAAATAGATGAAATCATTCAGGTTTAGATAAGTGTATAAATAAAATAGAAATATGAAAAGAAATAGCTGCCTCATTAAATTTATTTAATAATGGATTACAAGTTTTAAAAAATATTTTATAGGCGAGGAATCACAATCTGTTCAAAGTCATGTGGCAGCCAAGTACAGTGGTGCACACCTTCAGTTCCAGCACTCAGGAGAGGCAGGGTCAGGGGATCTCTGTGAGATCAAGGCCAGCCTGGTCTACATAGCAAGTTCTAGGCCAGCTGGGTAGATTCTGTCTCAAAAGCAACAACAAAAACCCACCATGAAGAGAATCTGAGAAAATTTATAGAGAACTCCATTCCTTGATGCTTAGAAAACAGAAAAAAGGGCCAGATATAGTTCCACCCAATTGACCTACAGAGTTGTGTGAAACACAAAATATATAAAGTTCGGAGCTGGAAAGATGACTCCATTGGTAAAGCACCTGTTGCACAAATGTGGGAACCTGAGTTCAGATCCCCAGAACCCATGTTAAAAAAAGTCAGACATGATCTTATAAGGCTACAACCCTAGTGCTAGAGGGAGCAAGAGGGAGACAGGAGGATTCCCCAGCCAGACTAGCAAGTCAATACCAGATTCAGTGAGAGACCTTGTCTCAAATGATGAGGTGGAGAGAGTAGTGGAAGACACCTGACATCTACTTCTGGCCTCTACAGACAGAGAGAGGGAGAGAGAAAGAGAGAGAGAGAGAGAGAGAGAGAGAGAGAGAGAGAGAGAGTTCATTTTTCTTAAAAAGTTTTCTAATAAGTTTGAAACAGTAAAAATTATATAACATTGTCCAAGTTATTAACCCATTCACTGGTTCGAACATTCATGGCATATCATGCTACATACTACAAATAAAAGTATTTGTGGTTATGGTTTAAAAGAAGACTACATTAGACTCAGTCTCAACAAACAAACAAAACAAAACAAAACAAAACAAAACAAAACAAAAGGAGAGGTTGGAATGTTTTATGTATCAAGATAAGATACTTCATTGCAATCTGGCATGGCCCAGAGATGCACAGAGATGAATTCAGCACTTGGGAACTGAGCCAGGAGGCCTGCTGTGAATTCAAGGCCAGCCTGGTCTACATGACAAGACTCGCTCTCTCTTTCAAACTAAAATAAAAATTTTAACCAATAAATAAAAAAGGAAGAAGACTTTCTTAGAGACAATGCTGATTTGTGCTATCTCTGAAACACAGAACTCACACCTGTGGAGATGAGCTTTTCCCCTGTAATTCATCCTCATGTACAAGGCAAATGAGGATAAATTAAGGGTTGACTTCTCCCTAGCTGTGGGAAATGGACAAGTGGCTTATTCTTTCCGAAACTCTTGCACCACTTTTAAGATGTGGATGCTATACCTGCATCACAGGGTTTTTCTAAGAAATAATTAAAATAATGTGCATGTTCTGTTAGACTGTGCTTTGCAAATTACCCAATAAATAGTGGGTATTAATAGAAACATGGAAAAAAAAAAAGGAAAACATCTTTAGGCTTATCAAGTAATTTATGCTCCAAACACAGTGGAACTGAACCACGTTATCTGAAACCTTTTCCTAAACACATAATCAACATAACTTCCTGCTCTTATGAAAAGAGTTTTGTTTCTTCATTTTAAGAATACTTGTAGAAATGGGGAGGGGGCACAGAAGCCTATAATCCCAGCTCTTGGGAGATGAACCCAGGAGGCTCATAGCCAGAAGCCAGCCTGGGCTACAGATCTTGTCTTTAAAAAATACAAACAAAACACTTGTGATATGTAGTAGTATGCTGCGTTAACAATTTCTATGGAGGCAGGAAGACAGAATTCCTTTAACTGCTTACTTAGAAGTGACTCTGCTCCATGACCTTGAAGACACATTAGTACACATAAATGAGGAGCAAAGAAGAACAGGGAAAGATTAGTGCTATCACCTCATGTGAGCTGCAGCAGGGTTTCTTCAACTTTTTCTACTTGCAACCTCTACTGGTCCCAGAAACTTTTTGTGACCATTGGTATATATGGCACATAAAACCAGTTATAAAAGCAAACATTTACTGATAAAAATTCATTAAGTTGGCTGGGTGCACACCTTTAATCCCAGTACTCAGGAGGCAGAGGCAGGTGGATCTCTATGAGTTCAAGGCCAGCCTGGTCTACATAGTGAGTTCCAGGACAGCTGGGGCTACAGGGAGACCCTGTCTCAAAAAGACGCCCCCCCTCCAAAAAAAATTCATTAAGTCTTACCTAAATATTTGATGCTACAAAATGTACAGCATCTTCAGTGTTTCTACAAACTGATGAATGTGTTTATTTATAATCATCAATGCTGACCACCTGGCTTCATATAAATGCATAGTAGGAAATGGAAGAAGTATGTTTAGGCCCACTACAGAAACTAGAAATTCTGTCCCAATCTCTGAGCAAAATTCATTTAATGATTTTTTTAAAAATGAAATTTAAGTCAGCAACTCAAACAATAATCTTTAAACTTAAATATTCTAAGACACTACAATCCAAACATGTATCAATTTGATACTTCCAACTGGAGAAACAACGGTAGAAAATGACTAAAGGCCTTTGTCTCCACAATTAAACCATTATGCTTCTGTTATAGCAGAAAACTTTGAATACACAGTAAAAACATGGCAATTCACAACACATGATGCTAGTCTCCAATCTGGGCTGAGAAGCTTTAGGAAGCACGTATTGGCACCGCATAGTGTGCGCAGTGCAAAGTATGCACAGGCAAAACTAAGGCCTCAGCGAATTATACAGAGCGACATGGGCGCCTGCTTCCAGAACTACCTCAAACTCATTATGCATTTCATTTTCAATTAACTTTTGCACACTGCATGTTCAGAAACCAAGTGCCAATTTTCTGAGGCACCCTATATTCAGTAACAAGGCCCCACATGGGGTCCTAACCAGTAGTTTCAGAAACTGGGAACTAGAAAAAGTTTAATAATTTAAATAACATTATAGAAGATAAAAATCCATTTATTTATAAAACATAAAATTATATTTATTAATATATCTGAACTGGTTGGGTGGTTTTTCATACATTAAAAATAATATACTGAAATGTATTGACATTCTGAAGATTGCAAGTGTCTCATGTGAATCGGCAATCTACTAATAAAGTCATGCATAATTAGCAGGATTTTGGACTTGAATTTTGAAATGCTATGTCCAATTAACATCTCTGCTTCCTGACTACAGACACAATGTGACAGCCACCATACACTTCTGCCGCCATGACTTTCCCACCATGATGTACTGTATCCTCAAATTGTGAGACAAAATAAGACCTTCTTCTCTTAAGTTGCTTCCTGTCAGGTATTTGGTCACAACAATGAGAAAAGCAACTAATACATGGTGACAACACATGATTATTACAGAAAGCCACATTCATTTGAAAAAAACAGAGATACATATGTAAATCCAACACCCAGAGACAACTATTTCTTCTCATTTAAGAATGCATTTTTCTAAGCATTTCTTAACACATAAATGGGTGTGTATCTACCCATTTATTTGTATAAATATCATACAAAAATATAGAGCAAGATTGTCTCAAAACAAACAAAATAAATGAATTTGAACTACTACTTTACTGAAAACTATGATGCCTCTCTCTTTACTTCTTAGACATACTTCTGCTACCCCAGACTCCAAGAAAGACAGGCAACTGCAGGGAAGCCTAGTAAGCTAGGACTGCTTCCAGGCTCATTTCAGCTCCTGTCAGAACTGCCAGATTTGAACATAACGTGAATGAAAAGTCTGACTGGATGTTCTTGATTCTCTCCACTCACAATACAAGAATGACATAAAAAAGAAAAACTCAAGCAGACAGTCTAGAAATCCTTGTGAGAGACATCAGAGTTTTGACCAAGATGGGCATTAAACATTAGTGCCTAAACATTTATCACTCCTTAAACACTCCCTATTTAATTTATCATATACACAACATTTCATACTTGTTTTTCATTGTAAAGATGTAAAGATGGACTATCAAAAACCAAATAAGCTCTAGAGAGCAAATGTATTTGTTCATTTATATATGGTAGCTGTATTACAGAAATTTTGATTTACACGAATATTTGGTGCAATCTGAGTAATTCATTTTATATATTACATTGATTTAAGAATCAAATTTTAGCACTTGGGAGGCAGAGGCAGATGGATCTCTGTGAGTTCAAGGCCAGCCTGGTCTACATAGTGAGTTCCAGGTTAACCGCTGAGCCATCGCTCCAGCCCTAAGAGAGGTACCCCCCCAAAAAATTTTAGGGGCTAGAGAGATGGCTCAGCAGTTAAGAACACTGGTTCTTGCAGAAGACCTGGGTTCGAATCCCAGCACACACATGGCAACTAACAACTGTCTGTAACTCCAGTTCCAGGGGATCTGACAGCCTCTTCTGTCCTGTGCGGGCATTGCACGACATGGGTGCACTTACCTACACACAGGCAATACATACATTCACATAAAACAAAAATAATAAAAAGCATTTTAAAAAAAGAATCAAGGGGCTGGAGAGATGGCTCAGTGGTTAAGAACACTGACTCTTCTTGCAGAAGACCCGGTTTCGAATCCCAGAACCCACATGGCAGCTAACAACTGTCTGTAACTCCAGTTCCAGGGGATCTGACAGCCTCTTCTGTTCTCTGTGAGCACTGCACAACATGCGTGCACTTACCTACAAGCAGGCAATACATGCATACACATAAAATAAAATATTTTTTAAAAAAGAATCAAATTTTAATCAATCAATATCAATGCAACCAAATAAACCCACATGGTACATAAAAAGTCTAAAGTATTTGCAAGGATGCCCAGCATTTTATAAAAAATTTAACAGCACATACTAAATTCACAAAACAGGTTAAGTTCAAAGTACATGTGAAACAAGAGAATCAGGGTCCCATTATTGCATTCTAGCACCTAAGATGTAGCATCTCAGAC